AACGAGTTGTAACAATGTTGTTATTTTATCAAGTTGCTACAAGGTTGTCACTCACAACTTGTTGACAAATTGTTGAATTACAGGACGATAGCAAGTTGTTGGAACAACTTGTAACAAGTCTGTTGAACTCAACAACCTTGTAGCAAGTTGTCAACAAGCTGGGAACAAGCAGTGCGAACACATCCTGTTGACAAGTTGTATCTTGTAACAAGGTTGATGAGGCCAACAGACTCACAACAAGTTGTTCCAACAAGTTGTTCCAACAAGTCTGATATCGTCTGCACTTAACAAGTTGATAACAACAAGCTCGTAGCAACTTGTTATGAACACCCTGTATTAATCTTGTTGGAACAACTTGTAGCAAGTCTGTTACCGTCATCAACCTTGTGAAAAGGTCTCATTTGGTAATACTAGAGTGTTTTCTAGACTGTTTTTTGTATCTTTTCCAGCTTTTTCAAGTGAGGTTACAACGAACGAATGTCAGGAGGTTGTGGTTAACTTAGTTCGAGCATTTGAACGCGCTTTAGATTGCCATTCCAAGGTAAATCTGATCAGTTCCAGTGTAAATAAAGTTAGTTTAGTTTATGTTTCCTTCTGTAGTAACACTGGATCAATATAAGATGATCCTTACTGGATCTCTAGGGAGAACAGTTTAGAACTGATAGAGCTATCCAGTTTAAATACAGTTAGTTTAGTTTAGGTTTCCTCCTGTAGTAACACTGGATCAATAAGAGATGATCCTTACTGGACCTCTAGGAAGAACAGTTTAGAACTGATAGAGCTATCCAGTATAAATACAGTTAGTTTAGTTCAGGTTTCCTCCTGTAGTAACGCTGGATCAATAAGAGATGATCCTTACTGGACCTCTAGGAAGAACAGTTTAGAACTGATAGAACTATATCCAGTATAAATAAAGTTAGTTTAGTTTATGTTTCCTTCTGTAGTAACACTGGATCAATATAAGATGATCCTTACTGGATCTCTAGGGAGAACAGTTTAGAACTGATAGAGCTATCCAGTTTAAATACAGTTAGTTTAGTTTAGGTTTCCTCCTGTAGTAACACTGGATCAATAAGAGATGATCCTTACTGGACCTCTAGGAAGAACAGTTTAGAACTGATAGAGCTATCCAGTATAAATACAGTTAGTTTAGTTCAGGTTTCCTCCTGTAGTAACGCTGGATCAATAAGAGATGATCCTTACTGGACCTCTAGGAAGAACAGTTTAGAACTGATAGAACTATATCCAGTATAAATAAAGTTAGTTTCCTACTACACAAACACTTCATAGAAACTAATTTCCTGGGTTTTTCATTCCAGATTTTAAACGGGGATATCAAAGACAATCAACGTCAAGGTTTATCGATGCTCGCTGCGACTTTTACGACGATACATGAAAGTATTTCAGAGTGTAAGAATGAACGCGAGCGACGACTCGTGCGCTCGCCCAGAGCTTCGAAAAACACGGAAACGAACAGCGAAGAACACGCTGAAACTCAGCACTCGTTAACTAAACACACAGAAACAAAGGACAGTTCACAACAGACAGAACACGTTTTCACTACAAACGAAAACGGACAAATAACGCCACTATTAGAAAAATATTCCGAGTTACTTCTAAAGAAATTCGAAGAAAAAATGAATGACAAGTAGTTTATTTAAATAATCAGATAATTTATTGTTAATATCAAAATACTGAATTATATCATCAGATGGTAATTTATTTTAAAAATATAGAAAGAGTTTAATGTTTGATAAAGCATATGACGTACTCGGATGCCTAGTTTATACCACTGTTCTGATAATGTAAGCATAGAATGGAACAAAGGTGATTAATTAGATCTATACAATCATGATTCTAGGTTCATTCACAAGATCATTCCGTAATTATTCAGATATTTTTTCACCGAGCACAAGCTCTGCTGTCGTGAATACAATCAATTCTCCAGTCACATGACCAGTGGTCACACAACCATCTTTATCAGACAATGATATTTGAAGATTTTTGGGTGTGCCAAGCAAAGATACAATTTCAAAATAACCTTCCATTGTTAATACCTACAACAAGAGAATATTAAAATACTATATACCACCACATAGTTTACCATGGCATAGTATACTTACATACCATACAATACCACCACATAGTTTACCATTATAGCATACCATATACCATATACCATACCACCACATAGTTTACCATTATAGCATACCATATAGCCATATATGCCATACCACCACATAGTTTACCATTATAGCATACCATATAGCCATATATGCCATACCACCACATAGTTTACCATACAGTCCATACCTTGGAGTTACTTACCATATTACATAATTATCATATATACCATATCAACCACAACATATACCATCAATATATCATACCATGGATCCAACCAAATTCTATAGTATACCCTCTTAAAAATTTATAATAATTTACCTTTTCATCTTGACCGACACTAATCACAGCCTTTGTGACGCTACCAACACACGTCATAATGAACGGTTCTTTTAGTTTGTGTTTTGATACAAAGATATTTAGACCATTACAAATCTCTTCTCCTGGTACCAAACGCAATGCATATGTCTTGATGGTCAAGTCGTCGACAGTTGTGTCCACCTCTCCTTGTGAGGTTGGGCCCTGTGATTCATGTTGTAAGTTTGACTCGGCATTGCGGTCTAGTACAAGCAGTTCAGGGAAACCAGTTTGTTCATCGTGTGTCCTTGTGAACGAGAGATTCTTACACTCTCCAACGACAATCTCCACATTTCCAGAAGCGACCACTGGTCCAAAAACATGGCCGCCTATCACCTCACCATCTTTGTGCGAAAGCGAGGCGTGTAAATGACCATTGCCACCAGATATTGTACCAACAAATGACTCTATCTTGGTCAGGTCAGAAACTTCTTTCACCTAAGGTTATATGTTTTATAATTATTGGTATTCTCTCAGATAACACAAAGATCAATTGCAATCCAATTTCAAACCAGCTACTCAATTATACTGCATAGTGCTCATACTTTTTAAGTATAAACTGTTTAACTTCTTCCTAGGGGAACAGGGCGGCACTAGGGAGAGGGGGGGGAGTGGAACACCCTCCACTCATGAACAAGTCTGCAAATGCAATTGTTGCATTCTTTCGTCAAAAATTGAGCTGTTTGGACATGGAGCGAATTATCATATTTAATTAAATTAATTAAAACCAAACATGAATTTAAATATCAAACTTAATACTTCAAAAAGTAAGGTGAAGAGATATCTTGAAAATGTGCTCAATTAGAGGGTAATTTAAAATTCAAAACAGAGCAACAACACCTGTATATAAATGCAGTTGGTTTTTGCCAGTGGTCATATATATGGCTGAAAACAGTTGTTGTGGGTGTTTTGTACTCGTCTAACGCCAGATGATTTTACTCATCAATGGAGAATCTCTGCAGCTTTAATGGGTTAACCAAAAAATCTGACAATGTCTCTAGTTAACCCATTGAGCCGCAATGTGCCCCAGTGCACCCTACTTTTTTTTACTTGTCTAACAGCAGACAATTTTACTTCTCAATGCAGAAGCTCTGCATGCAACTTAATTAGTTAATTAAGGATGAGTTTCAATCGTCAAGGTAGTCATTTGAAATCTTCCCCGGAATGGAGGAAATACATTTCAGAGACTCTAGATTTCAAAGTTCGACAGTTTTTATTGCAAATTGAACCAAGCTATAATGACTCTGCCTAGAACCATCTAGGCCTAGAACCATCCCCAAGGAGGAAGTCTTTAAAACCAATCTCATTTATACTCGATCTAGTGATTCTTTTCCAAGCCCCAAAGGTAACCAGTAACACTGCATTGCAAATGGACCATAAGCAACTTACGGGTTGATATGCATTCCAAGATTCTGCCATCCTTAAAGTGGCTCTGGATACTTCACCAGCACACTGCACCACAAACGCAGCTTGGAAATTCTGAGTTGTCGTAAAATCCTTAAGATATTTCACTATATCGCACCCGGACGAAACAGTCACTGCATAAGAGGAATATTTAGACATTTTAAGAAACACGAGTAAATCCTTTCAAAAATTGCTCAGTGATATAACCAATGATATATAATGAGCATTCAACAATATATTATATCTTGATAATTAGTACTATCCTATCCCCCTGGAAAATTGAGATAAACTTTTCTTTGCCCCGGGGGAGAAAATATTTACACGACATTGTATTGTGAAAATATTGTGCCCCCCGGTTAAAGCGCGTAGTTTCTAACTAAGCAATAAATATTTTATTTTATCCAGGGGGGTTGATAGTCGTTGGCATTGCATGAGCTGCTCTGTCGGTCTAGACTGTCCAAAAGATTTCAAATTTAAACTAGTTTTTGTGCGAAATTTAGATAGTCTACAAAGTTTTTTTAATGTTTTAAGATGTAGTGCTTAGTATACTGTTGAAAAAGAAAGCAAAAATGGAGAGTTTAGACTCAAAAGATGATAAAATAGCGACGTTGTCAGCAGAAGGGGTGCTCGAAGCGTCCGAGAGAATTGCCGGCAACGAAAGACAAATTCTCTACGAGAAAGGCTTACAGTAAGTGTTCAAAGGTATTTTATGTATTTCATAGTTTACAGCATAGTTTGCAGGGAAGTTTAAAGAGAGTTAATAATTTTAATAAAGTTATTTTCAAATTTCAAGTATATGCGTCTTGTTGTCATAGTATTAAATGTATATCATGGCGTTGTTATTAAAAGAAAGGACATGTACTTTTAAGAAGAACTAGCTGCAATAGTGCAATCTGTACTGGCAATCAGAGGTGGATCTAGCCTCATTTGAAAGGAGGGGTGCAGGTTTTCCATGGGGTGGTGCATGAGGGGGCCTTACTGCGGTACTGCCCACTCTCCTCTGCAGTCTGCAACGCTACTATCCCAACATTACCATTATTTGAGATGCCGAATCTGCATGTTCGCCGTTCTGTTATATCGGCTTTTTTATCACATGTGTGACTGCACAGTTGCTGTAGCACAGTACAGTAAATTTCCTTATTAAAGTACAGTATATTTGAAAATATATGGCTGACAGTGTATAACAATCTTGATCCATATTTAACCATAACTAAATCATTCTGAGTATTTTCTTGTGAGCTCACAAATCAATTAGATCATTTCAAGAAATCGAAACACGCTAACAGTAGAAGTTCCGCCAATCGCTATTCAAAAAGCAGAAAATGTATGGTCAAGCTTCTCTCTAGCACCTTCTCTAGGAAGGTGCTAGACACTGTTAGATAGAGGTGTGCACCCCCTGCCCCCTCTTGGTAGATCTGCCCCTGCTGGCAATGGTTCTGGAAACAATTTGTGCCTGATTTTACATCTACTGTACAGTACTGCCAAATTATTAGACTATGTTATATTGATGGGATAACCTGGGTATTTGCCCATGTCTCTTGTTAACCTATAAGGTCCTATAAGCTACATTAATGTGCCCTAAAATAGCCTAAATTTATCTCTGTCTGACATTACCCAATGTTCACTTGTGTGCATTAATGGGTTAATTAATCAAATATTTTTAATTTCTGTTTAGATTTAAGGTAGCAAACATTGAAATCTTCAGATAAGTGCTCTTTGAATATTTTATGCGTATTTTTCACAGCATTACTACAAATTGCTAACAAAACCTGTATACATTTTTTATTGTTTTTAGAGAAATTCATCATATGCACATGCATTGCAATGTTTTCTCTGTTGCCTACAAGATATTGAACAAGATGACTCGTTTCCTGAATTACCTTATTGTCTTCATAATGTAATGTTATGTCAAACATTTTAAATGGCAATTGTATTTTTATTTCTATCGATCCACCACAATTTTTCATTTTTTCCATAAAAATGGCACAGAGCCATTTTAACCATCACTTCAACCAGTTATCAATTTTTCATCCATCAAGCAGCACAGTACCACCTTAACTATTGTATTATCCACAATAGCACAGAGCTACCTTAACAGTTACTTCAGCCAGTTATCATTGAGCAACACAGTACCACCTTAATTACCATTATGCTAGTCACAACTGCACAGAGCTACCTTAACCATTACTTCAGGCTTCAGCCAGGTATCATTGAGCAGCACAGTACCACCTTAATCATTAAGCCAGCCACAACTGCACAGAGCTACCTTAACCATTACTTTAACCAGATATCATTGAGTAGCACAGTACCACCTTAACCATTATGCTAACCACAACAACACAGAGCTACCTTAACCATTACTTCAGCCAATTATTAAGCAACACAGTACCACCTTAATCATTATACTAGCCACGACAGCACAGAGCTACCTTAACAATTACTTCAGCTATTGAGCATTGCAGGTACCACCTTAACCTGAGTACAGCAATTGCAATTGCAACAGCACAGAGCTTCCTTAACAGTTATAATTAAGCAGCGCAGTACCACCTTAACCATTATGCTAGCCACAGCAGCACAGAGCTTCCTTAACAATCACTTATCTTACCCTAAATAATTTATTGTAAGTATTGTAGTCATGTGTATTATGTTATAGATAGCAGAAATATACAGCAAACTGGGAGAATGTATCCTTCCAAAAATATAAAATGTTCACAACATTTACTGGATCTGTACTGTTAGTCGTTACCTTTTCTAAGAAAGATACATGATATTCATTTTGGCATATTTCACATTTATATTAGATCTATATTTTTAAAATTTTCCCTAACCATTGCAATCCAGTTGAGAAGGCAATTCAATTTGTACAAGCGGAGAAGTTGTTTTATGAAACTGCTCTTATTCAAGCTGGAAAAAACGATGCTGACGGTAAGTTAATTAATATATAGTAATTCACACTGTATTTAACTCATTCAGGTAATACACTTGGATCCTTGCTCTTTTAGATCCCGGTAAAGAAGAAAGTTCCACAGAGGTAACTAGACTGGTTGATTAAGATTTTTTATTATTATTTTTTTTATTATTAGGAATTTATTTAAAAACACAGAGTCCAATTCACATAGTGTGATCTTCCCTGGAGCCGTGCAAACTACCAAATATAGCTATTAAATAAGTAGCCTATAATTAGATTAATACAATTAAATATATACAATTAAAGAAGTAAATAATAAACTAAGCTATCAGCAATTGATTTAGCATTAATCGCTTCCACAGGCAAGCTATTCCACAGAACAGTTCCCCGATACGTAAAGCTTTTTTTGAGAGCCGCAGTCTGAGGTCTAGGGACGAATTGTTTAGAACTAGAGCCTCGTAAATTATGGTTGTGAACCCGTATCAATCAATTAGACACGTTGGTTTTTCATGTTTAAAATCTTGCCAAGGTTACTGATCCTGATGCAAGTTCTGAAGAAGCTCAGATGGCAAATGAATATGAAAAATTATCTCAGATGTGTTTGAAGCAAAAAAAGTATGCGCATGATATTGGTTAATGAAACCCAACTATATACACACAGTACATATTTTCTAACAATGCCGTATTTGTTTTCTTGCTTTTATTTTAGCGTTCAGCTTGCTCTCGAATACGCTGGGAAGGTGCAGAATTAATGTTTCCTGATTTTTACATTCTTCAGAACAGAACAAATAAATAAATCATGTTAACATGTTTAAATTAAATTTTGTTAGGCTACTCAAATACGTAAGAAAATCTATGGCGAGTCGCATCCCGTCACGACCAAAAGTTTAAATCAATTTACCTTGATTTATGCTGAGATGGGAAAAGAACAGTATACCGGTAGGTAGCCTAGCTTGTATACTGCTTGAAAATTGAAATTAATTGTACTAAACTAACTTTATTTATACTGGATAGCTCAATCAGTTCTAAACTGTTCTTCGTAGAGGTCTAGTAAGGATCGTCTTTTATTGATCTAGTGTTACTACAGGAGGAAACCTAAACTAAACTAACTTTATTTATACTGGATGTCTGGATAGCTCTATCAGTTTTAAACTGTTTTTCCTAGAAGTCCAGTAAGAATCATCTCTTATTGATCCAGTGTTACTACAGGAGGAAACATAAACTAAACTAACTTTATTTATACTGGATAGCTCTATCAGTTCTAAACTGTTCTTCCTAGAGGTCCAGTAAGGATCATCTCTTATTGATCCTGTGTTACTACAGGAGGAAACCTAAACTGAACTAACTTTATTTATACTGGATAGCTCTATCAGTTCTAAACTGCTCTCCCTAGAGATCCAGTATGGATAATCTTTTATTAATCCAGTGTTACTACAGGAGGAAACATAAACTAAACTAACTTTATTTATACTGGATAGCTCTATCAGTTCTAAACTGTTCTTCCTAGAGGTCCAGTAAGGATCATCTCTTATTGATCCAGTGTTACTACAGGAGGAAACCTAAACTAAACTAACTTTAGAGCTGATAGACCTATCCAGTATAAATAAACTGTTCTCCCTGGAGGTCAAGCAAGGATCATCTCTTATTGATCCAGTGTTACTACAGGAGGAAACCTAAACTAAACTAAACTAAACTATCTACTTGGTTGTTTTTGTTTAGCTGCGATGGAAAAATATTCTAAGCCAGAGGACAAGCCATCATTGGAAAGTAAGTCAGAAGTGGAAATGAGTGAAAAAGAATCTGAAAGAAATGCAGACTTTGCTAAGGAAGAGAAAACATCGGGAAATAATGAAAAAGATAAAAGTGACGGCAGTCAGAATGAGCGTCTTGGAGAATGTGATAGTGAAAAGAGAATGGACAAAAGTGAAAATTCTGAGAATAATGTGGGATCTAATTCCGCTCAAAAACAAGCCAAAGGTATGTCAACAACTTTGTGATAAGCTGTCGTGGTTTGGGTTTGAACCGCATGAGAGTTTTCTCAATGATGCGTGTTTGCGCAGAAAAGTGTTCAAAACCTAAAATAGTTTTGGCGTTTCTCTCAAAATTACTTTGTCAGTTTAGCTTTATTTTGTAGTTTGCACAGTTAGCAACCTTTTAAATGTATCTGGCGGTTAAGAAACATAAAATAATAGTTAAATATTGTCAACTGAAATACAATTATCATTGCTGCTGTAAAATTGACGCCATATTTATACAGCAATATATGCAAAAACTGAACTTCAGACATCATTCTCTCTTTGGCGTACCATTTAAAATATCTTAATTTTAGCATTATTTTACAGATAAAGGACTAAACATACTTTGTAAGTTTATTTGCCGCTTGAGAAACCTCAGAAACGTATCAAAAATGTAAAAATTTGAATATAGTAATATTAGGGAAGCCTCACATATCGATTTTTTCCATGAGAAACGTCATATGTTCGTTTGGAGGTGGGGGGTTGCAGCTGTGACGTTTCTCAGTAAACATCATGGAAAAATTCGATAGTTTTTTCGAAAGCCTTAACATTTCGGAATCATCTTTGCAGAATAAAAAAATTACATTCGTAATACCATGGATAATAAAATAAATTTTATTATCTATGGTAATACCATACCTGTTCTACTGTATATACGTATACATTTATATTATTACGCCTGGCTTGTATTGAAAACACTCAAATTTTAAGAAAAACGCGCTAAAATTATCAATATTTCATGCAAAAAAAGTTGTTTTGAGAAACGTTGGAAATTTTGATGATATATATATTAATGAAAAAAGATATGTCAGCAGAAGATGACATATTCCTCGCGGAAGCATCGCCAATAGGCGACCGTTGAAAATAGTAGAAAATTACCTTATGTGTATTATAAGAACAAAATATCGATAACTATGTGTGATGTTTCTAAGGGGGTGGGGGGGGGGGGTCTCCAGAGAATGAGCGCGTGTTACGTAACACAAAAAAATCTCCTCTTAGTAAGAGCGTAAGCAAACCTATGACAATGTCTTTGTTTTTTTTTTTCAGTTTCCTGTGCAATGGTACTCATGCTTTATTTCTTGTCTACATTGGTGATAACTTTTGCTTGCACTGTATTTATGTGCTACAAATATGACACAGATGTCCATGCTTTGCATTCATTCTTGTTGCAAAGGATAAAATATTATTATTACTTTTATTTTAACTCGTCAGTTCCTGGCGTGAAATTCATTTGAAGGTGTCCGGGCAGTTAGCGTTGAAAAGTTGTATCGATTTAATTTATTTTACAACTGTACAGTAATTTATTCTGTATATATTTTTTAAGCTAGAGTAGAGCGTTACGGTATAAAGTTTTTGAAATGGTTGTGTTGTTTCATTTGCAGTTAACTGTACTTTTTTATTCAATGAAATTCAGGGCCGGATGACCGGATCTAGCCTCATCTGCAAGAAGGGGTGCAGGTTTTCCATGGGGTGGTGCATGAGGGAGCCTTACTGCCCACTCGCCTCTGCAGTTTGGAACGCTACTATCCCAACATTTCCATTATTTGAGATGGTCAAATCTGCATGTTTGCCGTTCTGTTACGTTTTACATTTATCTTTTGTTTATAAAGTTTATAAATCGGCTTTTTATCACGTGTGCGTGACTGGACAGTTGCTGTAGCACAGTACAGTAAATTTGCTTGCTAAAGTAGAGTATATTTGAAAACATGACTGTATGACAACCTCGACATGGTTACATATTTAACCATGATGATATTTAACGAAAACATTCTAACTATTTTCTCGTGAGCTCACAAATCAATTAAATCGTTTCAAGAAATCGACACGCGCTAACAGACGTTCCGCTAATCGCTATTCGAAAACAGAAAATGTATGGTGAAGCAGATTTTTTAGGACGGTGCTGCATTTCTCGGGGGGGGGGGGTATTTTAATACCTTAAAAGTCCGGACGAGATTCGACTCAACATACGTGTTACAAGTTGTTTCAACAACTTCTTATCGTCCTGCAATTCAACAATTTGTCAACAAGTTGTGAGTGACAACCCTGTGGCAACTTGATAAAATAACAACATTGTTACAACTTTGTTGACAAGCTTGCTGCAAACCTGTTGCGAACACATCTTGTTGACAAGTTGTGAGATTTTTACGTGTGTACACACGTAAAAACGCACAAGTTGTTACAGGTCTGCAAACAAGTTGTTACAAATCTGTTCATAAGCTGTCGACAAGTTGTGTTCGCACTGCTTGTTCCCAGTTGTTGTAACAAGTTTGGAACATGCTGTTAACAACTTGTAACAAGCTTGATGGCATTATCAGACTTGCTACAAGGTTGTTCTAACAAGTCTGATACAGTCAAGATATAACAAGAATATGTTACAAGGTTGATGACACAAGGTTGTAACAATATTAACAATATTGTTATATCATGACTGTATCGGACTTGTTGGAACAACCTTGCAACAAGTCTGATAATATCAACAAGGTTGTTACAAGTTGTTAACAGTTTGTTCCAAACTTGTTGACAACTTGGGACAAGCAGTGCAAAGACAACTTGTTGACGACTTGTTGGCAGACTTGCTAAGATGTGAGATTTTTGCGCACGTGTATACACGTAAAAACGCACAAGTTGTAACAAGTCTGCAAACAAGTTGTTACAAGTCTGTTCACAAGCTGTCAACAAGTTGTGCTCGCACTGCTTGTTCCCAGTTTGTTGTAACAAGTTTGGAACAAGCTGGTAACAACTTGTAACAAGCTTGATGGCATTATCAGCCTTGTTACAAGACTGTGCTAACAAGTTTGTCACAGCCATGACATAACGAGGATGTTACAAGGTTGTCAACACAAGGTTGTAACAATCTTGTTATATCAAGCACGTAACGCACTTGCCAGAACAACCTTGCAACAAGTCTGATAATTTCGACAAGGTTGTTACAAGTTGTTCCAAACCTGTTGACAACTTGTGACAAGCAGTGCGAATACATCTTGTTGGTAGACTTGTGAGAAGATGTGAGTCTGTACACACGTAAAAACGCACAAGTTGTTACAAATCTGTTCACAAGCTGTCGACAAGTTGTCTTCGCACTGCTTGTTCCCAGTTGTTGTAACAAGTTTGGAACACGCTGTTAACAACTTGTAACAAGCTTGATGGCATTATCAGACTTGTCACAAGGTTGCTCTAACAAGTCTGATACAGTCATGATATAACAAGGATGTTACAAGGTTGACGACACAAGGTTGGAACAATATTTTTATATCATGACTGTATCGGACTTGTTGGAACAACCTTGTAACAAGCCTGATAATATCAACAAGGTTGTTACAAGTTGTTAACAGCTTGTTCCAAACTTGTTGACAACTTGGGACAAGCAGTGCGAAGACAACTTGTTGACGGCTTGTTGGCAGACTTGTTACAAGATGTGAGATTTTTACGTGTGTAGATGGGGTGGGCACTCGTCTGACACGTCGCTCTAGGTTTTAGCCTGCGAATGGGTTTTGAAAAACTTCCCACCACCTGATTCCTCGGGTGAGATGCCGGAGGAGCTAAAAAATATCAGAATATGCACTCTGCACTTTGCAAAGAAATAGAAATCATCTGCGGTTTTTAGAAAGGTTAACCATATATTTACATAATGGCACAAGACAGCTCTGCACAGCTGCAGAAATTTTTGGACGAAAATCAATACACGAAGAATGGCATTTTACGATATGAGAAAATCGTTGGTGTTGGATTTGTGAGCATGGGTGGTATTGATACTACTGAGGTTTCGTGTAAACATCCTTTATAATTAATACTATGACCGAAACGAAATGGTCCCGGTTTGACTTAGTTCCAGTCTCATGTTAGTCATGTAAACGGGGCCTGACATGCTTGCAGTATGCCATTATTGCATTGGGCTATTCCATTTAATATCCGTACCCCCCCCCCGCCCTTGTCGAGGATCCCTGGAATTCTTCAGGGGTAAAGTGTTTTGAGCTTGGAATTCTTCAGGGGTAAAGGGTTTTGAGCTTGGAATTCTTCAGGGGTAAAGGGTTTTGAGCTTGGAATTCTTCAGGGGTAAAGAGTTTTGAGCTTGGAATTCTTCAAGGGTAAAGGGTTTTGAGCTTGGAATTCTTCAGGGGTAAGAAGGTTTGATTTGAAATTTTTCAGAGCTTGGAATTCTTCAGGGGTAAATGGTTTTGAGCTTGGAATTCTTCAGGGGTAAAAGGCTTTGAGCTTGGAATTCTTCAGGGGTAAAGGGTTTTGAGCTTGGAATTCTTTAGGGGTAAAAGATTTTGAGCTTGGAATTCTTCAGGGTAAAGGGTTTTGAGCTTGGAATTTTGGAATTCTTCAGGGGTAAAAGGTTTTCAGCTTGGAATTCTTCAGGGGTACAGACATTCCAACTCTCCCGATTTTACCGGGAGTCTCCCGAAAATTCATGCAATCTCCCGGTCTCCCGATTTTTATCAAATTCTCCCGATTTTTCAGAATATTCAGGAAATATCATAAAAAAATTATAAATATACTGTTTTTAGCAACATAATAGTCCATCTCGGACCTTTTTTGAAGTTACTTTATAGCAATTTATAGGATCATTTATAACAACATAGTCCCAAAATGCAGGAAATGCCATTTCAGAAGACTTAATTTTTATTATTTTTTCCCAGAAGAACTAGATTTCAATTCACTGAACAGTCTCCCTAAATTTTACCTCCAGTAGTTGGAATGTCTGGGGGTATAACCATAAAAAAAACATGTATCCTCAACATGGGGTGTACGGATATTAAATGGAATAGCCCATTTTTAAACCCCACCCTAGGGATGGGCCGATATCGATACCAAATACTCGGGAGGGTCTTAAAGAAAATCTGTGGGAATTCCACAGGGTAGGTTATTATTAAAAAAACAACATGGAAAGTCCAAGGGATGGTTAGGCCAGCCGGCCAGGGTCAAACGTCAAACTTTTCATGTGCCGAACCTAATGTTAATGAGCTAAGATCTTTGTTTCACTTCATTTGCATTGGGTTTGGCGCATGAAAAGTTTGACGTTTGGCCTTTATAGTCATGGAAATTCCAGAGACTAGGTCAAAAACCATTGGTGGAGTTTCCAAGGGATGAGTAGAAATTCATTAAAAATCTGTGGAAATTCCATGGGGTAGGCTGAAAATTTGTAAAAAATCTGTGGAATTCCATGGGGTAGGCAGGAAATTCATTAACATCTGTGGAATTCCAAGGGAGGGGCAGGGACATTGCTAGGGGGGATGTAACACCCCCCCCCCAAAAATAATTCAACGTTGGTCAAAGTTGGTCAAAACGGAACTGATATTTGCATAAAATTGAAGGTAAAACTCGGAAAAATTGGTCAAAGTTTGGGATAAAAGATAGTCGAATTTGGTCAAAGTTATGAAATGGTTTGCAATTCTAATAATTTTAAAGCTTTTGTTATGTTTGCAGTGAAAAAATTGGAAGCCTTGCTTGTCTTGGCCGAAAAATTTTGAATCTGCTTATGTTAGTCCGGAATAATGTTTTGGCCTCCCCTCCCTCGTCGACAACATTTTCGGGAAAAATTTGTACAACTTGGTCAAAATCCTAGGAAGTGTTGATCAAAACATGACGACACCCCCCCTCCCCCCCCCAATGTTGATGGCTTTGCGACATCCCTGGGGAGGGGGGTCCAAAAAATGGATGTTCCCCATAGGGGGGTGTGGATTAAAAATGCAATATTAAGCCATTGTGTCTCCAGTGTATCACCATTAGTATGTACTAGTATATTTTACAATGGCCTGTGCTGTGACAACATCCAGAATGCAGTGTTGTACCACACATGTAATAAAACAATCTTATAATTTTAGGAGTTTGTGGCCAGATTGAATTTGAAGGAAAATCAAAAAGTTCTGGACATTGGGTGTGGTATTGGAGGTAGTGCATTTTATATGGCCAAGGTAATATTGGCAACTTCTGGCTGGAATCTTGCCCCTTATCTCACAATTAATTCATCCCATTTGTAATCCAGACGGGACTCCCATCAGTGGTGTAATGCTCATTGGGTAGGGATTGGGCCCCCCATCAGCCACGGCCAGTATCACCCAGAAAATTAGAAAATGTAAAATATGCAGGTTAATTGAGAATTAATGGGAAATGCGAATTAATGGGAAATGCAAATTAATTATGCTAAATAATAAAACCTCCATCGACAACGGTAGCTGATTTTGTTACTCCATCTGAAATAAAACAAAATTTATTCTTATTGTGTTGGAAATTGTTATTGTTATAGACACGGAATTTTCCAGAACATTTTATAAATATTATATCAATATAAATATAATATCTCAGTCAAACAGGGACCCCAAAACCAAATAATGCCTAAGGGCCCCTTCTTCCTCTGTTACGCCACAGTGACTCCCATCTCTGAATTAATGCTAGTATTTCGAAATGAAATGAATAGTCAGTATGCTAGTGCCTTGGGCTATGTCCACACTAATCTCTTTTCGTAGCATTTTCGTATTGATTCAGGTAAATAGACCATATTATTCTCTATTCCCTTGTGAACGGAAAACAGTACGAAAACGCTACAAAAATGGATTAAGTATGAATGTATAACATACCTTAATTAATGAAACTATTATTGTCTTATAAAGAAATTTGGTGCGAATGTGTTGGGGATTGACCTGTCAAACAACATGATGAATATTGCGTTGGAGAGAGCTGCCAGTGAAGCTGATATAAAAGACAAGGTTATAGTTGCCGCATTTCATATGGTTGATCAATCCTGCTCTGGACTTCTGTCTGTCCACAAGTGTTTGACCAGGTCTGCCCCCCCCCCCCTTAATTAGCCCCAAATTATGTTTCTCTTGGAATTATTTTGAAATCAGATCTTTAATCTTTGTCTTCTAAAAACGTAATTCTTAGCAGTCAAAAGAACATGTAACACTGCACTCAAAATTGAAGACGAAACAGCTTGGTAATGGCCTAACACTAACATAATTGCCGAACTTATTCTTAAAATCAGCCTTACATACTAAATATTTCAACTACATATAGGAAATTGTAGCTTCTATTGCTTCTGAATGTATGTGCAGGCCGGGATGTGCAGTGACTGTTGAACGAATATGCTATAGCAAAATTTAAGCTTGTACAATTGTAGTAATTATATATGTACAGTTGTAGTAAAATTTAAGCTTGTACAGTTGCAGATAATATTACCACATGACCACAATGGAAGTGAGCTTTGTTAGACATGCGTTATAAATTATATATGTTTTGTATTTAAGGTTGAGTTGAAAGTCATGGATGCATTAACAGCCCCATTTGAGCCAGCCTCGTTTGATGTAATTTATTCCAGAGACACTATCCTGTATATTGAACAGAAGAAGGAACTGTTTAAATTGTGTCTGGTTGGTTAAACTTTGCATTATTCTTGACAAAAGTTATCAATTCTGACATGTACTTTTCCCTGTTGACAATTAATGGTAATACAGTATGTACATGTACGTTAGTACATACCTATTGTGTTAATCTTTTTATCATGCAAGAGTAGAATTTGGTAAATGGTTTTTAACATTTCAGAAATTAATAAACATCTGCTGCCCTTAGTGATGCTTACTAAAGCCCGACAATTAAAATACTCCAATTTCATTATCGCTATCGAGTTTGTGTCAGTCTACAGTATAATATTTGGGTTTTTTTCTCTTGACTATAGAAATGGTTAAAACCAGGTGGCCAGTTTCTCATCTCAGATTACTGCTGTGGTACAAATATAGACAATGAAGAATTCGAGAATTATGTAAAACAAAGAAATTACTTCTTGTTAGACCCTGCTTCTTATGGAAAGGTTTGTCTTTGAACTCTTCAACCATATTCTTAGGTTCAATCACACAGATGTGTGAAGTACCTAAATTATGGGCGATGCCAATACACTGACTAACAATACCAACTAGCGCTTGTAGCTAAAAAGAGAACAACATTCTGTTCTTGTTTAAAATATGTAAATGTGAAGTTCTCAAATGTATTTAGAGTGAAGACTGAAGTTACGGAATACAGCCAGGGTAAAAATAAAAGTTTCGCAATTTTTCGTAAAAGGGAACAAATAAAAGTTTCGTTAAAGGTCCAGACACACCCGGACACCCGGACGCGATTCGACAACGCGACGCGATTTTTTAGTTTTTGAAAGTTAATGAAACAGTCAATGAGAGCAAATTTTAAAAGATATGTAGACCAAATAACTCAAAATGTTATAGCTGTTATAATGTTTTGGTTTTGCGGAAATGTAGAGCATGATTGTTGCTTCTTAATTGATACGTTTGATTCCTACGGATTGTGAAAATTAACTCCTCGGCCCAGAGGTGATGATGCAATTGAAGTACCTTTCATTATTTTTATCATTTCTATAAGAAAAGCATCCTTGACTGACCTTTGACTTCCCCCCCCCGCCCCATCGAAACACGACAATTGAAAGGAAATTGAAACATGCTGTATAAGCATTTTCTTTTATGGTCCTTTTATGTCAATGTCATTAGTTTTGCTCTAGTGGCCAGGAGAAAGGAAACTCAATATGCTTCAATACCGTGGGGTTGAAGTGATTTTGAACAAAAACTTTTTTAGCTTCTTGAAAAAGTTGGTTTTGTTGGGGTGGATGCTCAAGACAGAACAGAACAGTGTATAAGTTTGATGTCAAAAGCGAAAGCACGCACAGAACAGAATAAAGATAATTTACTAAAGGTATAACACCAGTAACAGTTTGTCAGCAAAAGTTGGGTGTGGTTCCCCCCCCCCCCAAGCACGTAGCCTTTGCTACACCCCTGGCTCACAATGTATAATGCTTACTTGAAATCTCAAAACCATAATTTGTTCTCAAAGCAGTGCCGTAGCAAGCTCGATAATTGGGGGGCATACTCATTTATTCATGTTCACAGACCATAAAAACAATCGATTTCAAAAGAAATTAATAACGCAGAATATGAATATATGAATATGAGCCCCCCCCCAATTATCGAGTTCGCTACGGCACTGCAAAGGCATATTGTCATTGTACATTGATCACATTTTTCTAATTTTAGCATTTTACTCAAGAAGATTACGACGCCTTGATATTGGAATGGGGGGGATGTATAAAACGTTGCTCAGTTGGCTATCTAAAATGGGGCTTGTTCTACGCCAAGAAAGCAACTTAATTATTAAAGATTGATATACTGTATTAATTTGTACATAGATTATATTAACTTATATCTTAAATGACTATTTTAATTTGATAAAGGCAGATTTTATTAATTCAAATAAATATACTTTTGCAAGCGGAACATCAGAACATGTCAGTTAGGATTATTGAAGAATTTGAACATTGCTATCGGGATGTATCGCAAGCTATATACAGATATACTGTATCAAATTTGAAAAAATGCTACAATCACACAATTGCAAATATTCAAAAAAAAATTTAATATATAATAACTTATTTACATTAAAAATTGCAAGCGACATTGTATAACCTAATTTCAATTAAACTGTCACTTTTTACTCAATTAAATTTGAGGAACAGATGACCGGATGCAGGTTTTCCATGGGGTGGTGCATGAGGGAGCCTTACTGCCCACTCTCCTCTGCAGTCTGCAACGCTACTATCCCAACATTACCATTATTTGAGAAGGCCGAATCTGCATGTTCGCCGTTCTGTTACGTTTTACATTTCTTTTGTTTATTAAGTTTATATTGGCTTTTTATCACGTATGCGTGACTGGACAGTTGCTGTAGCACAGCACAGTAAATTTCCTTGTTAAAGTACAGTATATTTGAAAATATGGCTGTATAACAACCTTGACATGTTTGCATATTTAATAAACTATGATATTTAACCAAAGCATTCTTGAGTATTTTCTCGTGAGCTCACAAATCAAGTAAATCGTTTCAAGAATTCGACGCGCGCTAACAGTAGAAGTTCCGCTATTCGAAAAGCAGAAAATGTTTGGTCAATCAGATTTCTTATGGTGATACTGGCCTTCTAGCTCTCCATGGGGGTGCTAGACACCACTACTAGGTGGGATGCTTTCCCCCACGGTAGATCCGTCCCTGATAAAAGTAGAAGACAAAGAGAAAATGAGAAACCATCTCGTCACCAGCCTCCTAATTTGAATTATTCTCGTCTAAATTACACTCCAGATGTATTTTGAAGATCAGTGTGTTCATTTTCCACGTGGGTTGCTCGTGATGGATCTGAAACAAAAGATCAATTTTCACAAAAATATGCACTTTGCCCAAAAATTTCTTCAATTCCCATGATTTCATTTTGCAAAGTCCAAAGCAATCATCAATAGTTTCGACAGGTTAATAACCATATATTTATACAATGGCTCAAGACAGCTCTGCACAGCTGCAGAAATTTTTGGACGAAAATCAATACACGAAGAATGGCATTTTACGATATGAGAAAGTCTTTGGTGCTGGATTTGTGAGCACGGGTGGTATTGATACTACTGAGGTGAGTTATTAAGAAATACAATTTAGTTTGTATCGTACATATATTGCTTTTACTGGTTTATATAGCAGTTGCTGTATAAATAGTCTTAATTGTAACAGGATTCATCCATCGTCCTTGGGCCATTGATCTGGTGACTGGCACATTAATTCATGCACAGTTTTAATATAACCATCCCATCCTGGTCGTATAGGTGTGAATTATTTATCCCTTGGGTCCCCATATTGACTCTTGAGAAGAAAATCCGGACTGATCATCTGAGTGGGGATACTATCCAAATTTCAATAATTTGATCTGGAATTTCAACAATGTTGCAATTAGGATATGAGCAGGGTGGAAAAAATACCTTTCTTCCTCTGAGATAAAAAATTCCTGCAGAATATGTTTGTGCTAAATTTAGCCACAGGTTAATTTTCTGTAGTTGCATAAAATTTTGTGCAAGTGGTGCTCATGTGGGGTACTCCCCTTGGACAATCTGAACCCCCCTCCCTTATTATTGATCCAACCTTCCTTATGAATCAGTAATTGTTTTGTAACATGCTTGCAGTATTGTGTCTCCCAGTGTATTAACCATTAATATGTACCAGTATATTAACCATTAATATGTACCAGTATATTTGACAATGGCCTGTGACAACAGAGTATACTGTTAGATTGCAGTGTTGTACCACACATGTAAAAAAACAACTTATAATTTTAGGAGTTTGTGGCCAGATTAAATTTGAAGGAAAATCAAAAAGTTCTGGACATTGGGTGTGGTATTGGAGGTAGTGCATTTTATATGGCTAAGGTAATTTTGGAACATCTGGCTGGAATGGTGTCCTTGATCTCACCCAGAAGATCCTATTTCTAATCCAGAGTGGATTTCCATCTCTGAATGCTAGTATTTTGAAATATTGAAATGAATAATTATCAGTTATAGACCTGAAACGAGGGGTATTCCACAAAAAATTACCCTGAGGGATGAAATATTCCGAGGGCGAAGCCCGAGGAGTATTTCATCCCGCAGGGTAATTTTTTGTGGAATACCCCGAGTGAAAGGTCTATAAATGGTATATTATACCGAACCTTTCAAAAATAAGTAGAAAACAAATACCATTCAATTTACTTTTAATGTCAAAAGTTGAATTTCCCGCTCAAGCGTGGTATTCGAAGTTGAATACCATGGCCCCGGGTAAAACACCCAGGGTTCAAGTTGCCTAGGTCATAGTACTTGCTGAAAAATACCATGGTCATGTGGTACAAATTTAGTTCTCTGATTGGACAAGCTCATTGTGAGGTATAATATTCATAAATATAACATATGTGCTATGTCCACACTAATCTGTTTTTGTAGCGTTTTTGTATTCAGATAATTAGACCATTATTCTATTTTCCCTTGTGAACGGTACAACAATGCTACGAAAACGGATTGAGTATGAGCTAGTGTAACCTTGACAAAATTAATTTTCTGATAAAGAAATTTGGTGCGAATGTGTTGGGGATTGATCTGTCAAACAACATGGTGAATATTGCTTTGGAGAGAGCTGCCAGTGAAGCTGATATAAAAGACAAGGTTAGTTATGCCGCATTTATGGTTCATCAATCCTGCTTTGGACTTTGTTTAAGTTAGATGAGCCAATGATTGGCAAAACATCAGCAGCACCGATTGATGGTTACAGTTTCTGATTGATCTTCAGTATTAGTTTTGTGATGCTTGTCATATTGGTTTCTTATTCTCGAAGTATTGTTTGGGAATACTTTAAAATTGATGAGAAAGACAAATCGAAGGCTGAATGTCTGGACTCTAAAGCAGCGGTATCTGTACATTCTTGTCATGAGGTGGAAAACATTAAAAGAATTTCACACAACCGACCTGAAAAGTCGTCTGCAGTCATAACGTCCCATTTGAAACTAGTGAGTTGAGTAAGACACTAAACATTGATCATGAAAACCAATCATTGGTTTTGTGGATTAATCAGTCAATGGTGGGTATATGTTACTGTAACTGTCTCTTCAACAATTGGAAATCAGCTTTTATTAGTATCTCAGCTCATCCCTACGTCCGTTTATATTTTACATGACCACAATGGAAGTGAGTATTAAATTGTTAGACATGCATGCATATAAATTATATATTTTTGTATTTAAGGTCGAATTGAAAGTCATGGATGCATTAACGGCACCTTTTGAGCCAGCTTCGTTTGATGTAGTTTATTCCAGAGACACTATCCTGCATATTGGACAAAAGGAGGAACTGTTTAAATTGTGTCTGGTTGGTTAAACTTTGCATTCCTACAAAGAGTTTTCTTTTGACTAATTCTGAGATGTACTGTTCTTTTCCCTGTTGACAATGGTAATACAGTACTGTACATGTATGCTAGTGCATACATATATTTTGCTATTTTTTATCATGTAAGAGTAAAATTTGGTATTGGTTAATTGAACATTTCTAAATATTAATAAACATCTGCTGCCCTGATGCAGTACAGATGCTTACTTAAAAACCTGACAATTACGGTACTCCAATTACGTTATCGAGGTTGTGTCAGTCTATGGTATTTTGGGTTTTTTCTTGACTAGAAATGGTTAAAACCAGGTGGCCAGCTTCTCATCTCAGACTACTGTTGTGGTACAAATATAGACAATGAAGAATTCAAGAATTATGTAAAGCAAAGAAATTACTTCTTGTTAGACCCTGCTTCTTACGGAAAGGTTTGTCTTGGGGAATTAGGTTAGTTTGCTGACCTCAGAATGACATTTTGTCAAAACTCTTTTCTTCAAGATTGGTTTAGAAACAAACTTGGAATAGACTTAGGTTAGGGTTAGGATTAATACTACTGTAACTGCATGTAACATTTGGAATAGGGTTAGTATATTAGTAAACCATTAATTGCTTTGTTACATTTTGGCACTCTAGAGGCCAGCGAAATAACCTAGCTCACTCTTCCATTTGTCTTCACTTCAACCATATATCTCATGATATTTTAACTTGAGCCGCAGTGCGCCCTACTTATTTTTTTACTTGTCAGACAATTTTACTCGTCAGTGGGGCAGCTCTGCAGCTTAATGGGTTAAACAACAAATTGAAAATGGCATGTCAACCTATCTTATATGTAAATGAGTTTCCTGACTATTATAAAAGCCATATATAAAACAATATATATATGCAATTATATAGTATTTTTATTTTTTACTAATATTTATACACAGTATTATCTCAACCATTGTTCTGAATTATCTATAATTACATAATATACTAATTTAAAAAGATGGCCATATTGGTAATAGCTTTAAAACATGCAGTTAAAATTTTCTATTGTGTTCGACATTGTTCCAAGCTGCAGCCCCATTATAACTAAAGCTACGCTTTAAAGCGTCAGTGTTGGGTTTGAGGAAGTGGAGAACATGATTGCTACTTCTTAATTCATATGTTTGATTCATACAGATTGTGAAAAACTCTCGGAGGTAATCAATTGAATTACATTATTTTTCTAAGAAAGCTATCCTTGACTGCATGATCGACCCTAATGACCCCCCATCGAAACCCGGACAATTGAAAGGAAACTGAAACATGCTGTATAAGCGTTTTCTTAATCTTTTATGACCGTTTATGGGCCTTTTATGTCAATGTCATTAGTTCTGATCTAGTGCCAGGAGAAAGGAAATACAATATGCTTCAGTACCATAGGGTTGAAGTGATTTTGAACAACAACTTTTTTAGCTTCTTGAAAAAGTTGGTTTTGTTGAAGTGGATGCTCAAGACAGAACAGAACAGTTTATAAGTGTGCTGTCCAAAGAGAAAGCACGCACAGAACAGAATAAAGATAATTTACTAAAGGTATAATACCGACATCTCACAATTTGTCAACAAGATGTGTTTGCAACAGGCTTGTGGCAAGCTTGTCAACAAGTTGTAACAATGTTGATACTTTATCAAGTTGCTACAAGGTTGTCACTCACAACTTGTTGAATTGCAGGACGATACCATACCAAGTTGTTGGAACAACTTGTAACAAGTCTGTTGAGCTCAACAACCTTGTAGCAAGTTGTCAACAAGCTGGGAACAAGCAGTGCGAACACATCCTGTTGACAAGTTGTTGAAACAACATTGCTACAAGTCTGCTGCAGGTTTGTTACAAAGTGTAAATTGAAAATAATTTTAGTCACCAAATTTTTGTTTGTCCATTAATTAAGTTGTTCAGAACCTTTACAATATTGATGTACCATGTAAATATATTTAACAAATATTAGAATTACATTGAAATATTATTGAAAAATATTTATGAAAAATTTAACCACACGTGTGCCATGCCCACTTTGTCAGTAAAGGTGTGGCGTATAACCCCCCCCCCCCCCCCAAGCACAATGCCTTCACTGCACCCCTGGTGCACCGGTACTGTTCACTCAAAGTCTTAAACCCATCATTTGTTCCAAAATAATAGGCATATTGTCATTGTACATTTATCATATTTCAAGTTGTGTACCATACATTTAATTTTTCTTTTAGCATTTTACTCAAGAAGATTACGACGCCTTGATATTGGGATGGGAGAAAAAAATTAAACGTTGTTCAGTTGGCTATCAAAAATGGGGCTTGTTCTATGCCAAGAAAGCAACTTAATTATTAAAGATTGATATACTGTATTTGTAGCATAGATTATATTATTAATTTATATCTTAATGAGTATTATCATTGCAAGTGGAATTGATTTTCATAATTCATGTTGGAAAAGCAAAGGAAATTGTTACGTACCCATGTTTATCTGATAAAAACCCCAGATATTATTCATGTCAGTTAGGATTATTGAAGAATTTGACCATTTTTCGCTAGCTAACAGTATACTATACAATATCAATTTTGGAAAGTTGCACACAATCACACAATTGCAAATTTTTATTTTTTCATATATATATAATAACTTATTTACATTAAAAATTGCAAGCGACATGGTATATTATACCTCTTCTGATCTTCTGCAGTACCATTTCCACAGTAATGCTAAATAAATTTTCTAAGCCCTAAGCTAACTAAACGTATCAGAATCAAAGTATTCAAAGCTGAAATCTGTACAAGTTCAGCATCGGCAGAGCGCAGAAGTCCTGTTAGACCAAGGTCTGCAAGGAAATCTTAGCCTGGTATAATTTACTGGATGCAATTGATTTATTAATTTGCCTCAATTGGGTGCAAAATGGCATTTGTTTTAATAAATTTAATCCCAATTAAATTCAATCAATATAGTGAATAGTTATAACTATAATGATCAAATATTGTAATAGATATACCCAAACTTATTGCAAAACAGTCTTCAATTACTAGTAAGAATATATAATTTATGTCTAATTCAGTAATGCACAACAAATATCAAACATTGATAACAATTACTCATTCCGCTGCTGTAATTCAATTTAACAGTGAAAAAAACTATAACAAACATTTCCACGACGACTCTTTGCTAAAACAAGGCACACATGTTTACTGCTGTAGCCACTATCAGTCATTTCCAGGTGCAGAGTGGCCCACCAAAAGTAAACAATATACACACAAAATTAGACCAAATTATTTGTCCAAATTACTGTCAGTGATCAAAGACAAACATGAAACAATTAATTTTCCATTTCTTCATGATCGACGTCGTGGTCTGAGCAATCCTCGTCTAAGACATCCTGATCTGGGACATCTTTATCAAACAAATCCTCATCACTTTCGCTTGCAATCCTAAATGCTGTATCTCCTTCTAAGTTTTCTATCGAACCACTTGCCCCCATGGCAATTAGCGTTGCGACAATGGTATCGAGTCCCAAACCTGCCGCAATATGCAAAGGGGTGTTACTAGAATACGACATTGCATTAGGGTCGGCATTGCCTTTGAACAATAAACAGGACACCATTACAAGGTTATTGTCTTCGACAGCCAGATGTAGAGCAGTGTTCCCGCTTTTGCTGTCCTGTAAAAAAGTTATTGTGGATTAGTGATAGCGTAAACATTCAAAATTTATTGGGTTTATGTGGTATTTGCATGTTGTGACATTGGACCAATAAGGGATGACGTTTAAATACTGGACCTCTGGGGAAATAGCGGGGAAAGAAACAAGTCATCCAAAAGAAAATTAGTTACAAACTAACTTACAGCAGCATTTGCATCAGCACCAAGTGTGATTAATTCTTTCACAATTTCAATATGCCTTGCTTTCACAGCAACACAGAGAGGCGTCAGACCTAAAATGTAAAAAAATGTATTATAATTTACTGTTTGCATTTAAAGATGTAAGTTGCCGAACTAATCTATAACCTTGAAAGTTTCATGTGAAACAGAAAAGCGAAATCTTACCATCAAAGTTTCTTGTCTCCAAAATTTCCTGCAATTTTTCATGTAGTTCTCGTCTTCCTGACCTTGGTTTAAAAATTTCTGCAAGGGTCTTGAGGTCTCCCCGATGACATGCAAGATGTACGCATGTTTGTCCATTTCTATCGACCAAATCAACGCTAGCTCCTCGGTCGATAAGCTTGCCTACAATTTTATGCTGTCTTGTTATTGCGGCCAAATGCAGCGGGGTTTGAGTGATATTGTTATAAACATCAAAGTATTCGGGTCTTGGAAGTACATCAATAATCTGCTGGATGGCTTGTTCATTGCAGTTAATGATTGCCAAATGTAAAGACCTAGAATAAAAATGGTAAAAAAATATTTCAGATTATTTTATATCTTATACGTTTCCATGGCAATAAATACGACATTTGTGGGCAACACATTTTTGGGAACATTTTGCGGAAAATATCGATTTTGTGTATGTACCGTATGAAATAGATTCTATTTTGATCAATTCTAAGACATCACAAGACAAAAATACTTATGAGCTGATGCCGTCACGAACCGGATGATAACGAGCCTCAGTTTCAGATGTCAAGGAAGTGGATTATTGTTCAATGATTCAAAGGATTGGCTCATTAATTTCTTGGAATGTTGTTCCGATTCTTTCCAAGTTTTTAAAAATCACCTTTTAAAACTCAAAATCGTCTTAATAACTCTTAAAAAGGAATATTAAATGTATATACATAAAAATAGTTGAATAAATACCGCAATCACATGACAAAAATGTTTTACAGAAAATTCAAAGACGCCAGACCCCCAGCAAAGTCAGGGACATTCCCTTTGCATTTTTCCTTTCGGTTTTATATTTGTCGAGTCATTTTATTGCTACGTTGCAATATTTTTTGCCCAAATTCGCCCTAAAACATGTGTGTTCTTTAGATTATTTAATATCCAAAGTATTTAGGCTCTTAAACTTCATTTAAAACGTTTAAATTTAAAAATACGTACGTGTCTCCTTCATCGTTGCGATGTAACAACGTAGGCCAAAATGGCGCCAGCACGTATCTGAAATCTTGCGTTTGAGCAAAACATCGCATGCAATCGTAAACCGAAACATATTGGTGCTGGAAAGGATGGTCCATAGCTTGTCCTTTGTTAGTTGAGGGTAAACTAGGTAATTCTACGCTCCTTTCAGAGAGAATAGAGGCATATCCATCGTCAATAGATTTGCATATTTTGGGCTCACTAATTTTCAGGTTTTTGGTTTTTTGCAGTATGCAATCCGTAGAATCGACGCATTTCTGATCTCGCGATATGTCATCAATAGAATAACTGTTCGTATCGCTTCTATCCGATGGCATACTGGGTAAGCTGTCGCCGAAGCCCGAGTCAACTCGATCAGAAGAATCGAAGTCTTCATGTTGGTTTTTGAAAGTACGTGGTTTCACTTTTCCGCCTTGCGATTCCCATGTATTTCCACTGCTTTCCATTGTTAAATTGGACTAGAAATTACCAAACTACTATAGAGAATATATAAAGTTACGAAAAACAGCTCTCTCGTGAACAGAACTCTGAAACAAGATGCAAAAAGCGTCAATTCATGCACCTTATAAGTTCGTTTGTTCGAGGGAATTCCCAAACGACGAAGAAAGCCCCGAAACGATGTCTATGATGGAACGTCAACCAATCAGAGTGCAGAAAAAACGGGGAATCCCAAACCCGGGGGGGTTATCATATTGGTCACATGACTTATTAAATAGTGCGATAAGTCACATAATATCGTAACAATTTACTATTTTACAGTATTTGTCTTAATTTCACCGAGGTTTTTGCATAATACTACCCTATTCTATAAAATACCTAAATTTAGATTTTGCTTGCTTGTGTGACTGTTTATGAATATATTGTTTGCACCCGCAAAAAATTTGCTGAGGGTAGCACGTCTTATGTTACATCACCCATCCCCCTTAATCACCCGTTCCCCTTAATGACGCGGTACTTGTTTACGTGTTAGGGTCATGCCAATTTCAATGTAACTAGATTTTACTAGGTTGTCAA